AAAGGCGGAGGAAAGGCGGAGGAAAGGCGGAGGAAAGGCGGAGGAAAAAGCAAGCACACTGCAGGCAACTAACAGAAGCAATCCTCATCTTAATACTTTCTAGATAAGTGAAAAATGAAAGCATGGGTTCACAGAATCACCACGTGGTTTTCTGACTACAGCGAAGATCATCCTCTCCCTTCAGGAAAAGAATTTAAATTGCCTTGCAAAAAAATCTTCCCAAATAATCAGTTAAGAATTAACCCACGCATACAAGTGGTTGGATGAACTCACCCCAATGTCTTCATCACTCTGTATGAGCTGTGAATGTCCAAAGAGACGTCTCTTCAGAATGGGTTCCACTAGTGTAAGGTACACCATGTACAGAAGAAGTAGCCCCAAAATAGACAGGTATATGATGATTGTAACCTGCACAACACAAACATTATTTATCCCAGAGTTATGACATTACCTCAGCCACCTCTCACCAGGCAGTGATGAACAAAAGAACTGTACAGTCAAAGTTTTTGATGAGCCTGACACAGTAGTGTCACTATGACTTAAAACTCATGAACAGCAAAAAGCCATTATCTATTAAATTGGTATTACAAGGTTTAAGGGCAGACAGATAAATTAGCTTGAAACAAAGTCTCTCTTAGTGAGGCCTTGCTGAAGTCCTATGCTATCTTTCTTGAAACAACCTGGTGTTCTCTCACCTTAATCAAGACTACTAATCCACAGCAATTAAACTGGTCACAAATTTTGGGGTTCCTGCATGGTCTCCATTCTCTAGCATAGATCCACATTCAGTCACAGAGCTCACAATGAAACAGGAGAAGGGGAAAAACGCAAAATCCTGAAAAGCCTCCTAAAAAAGGAATCAATATAATAGAAGAAAACACGCACTATATAATCTATTCACTCCAGGGGCTCAGTGGTGGTTACAGGATAAGTATGAAGAATCATCACATAAAGCAAACAGGATCAGTTTTGCTCTTCTTAGCTTGCCAAGATAGAAAGTAAATTTACATCAAGAGAGCAAGAGTGAATAATGAGAGAACACTGAGAAAAATATGAAGTCCAAAGCTTGACAAAATACCATAGCACACTCAAAATCCCAGCCAAGTATAAAGCTTAATCTCAAAACAGGAGAACTTAAACTTCTTAAGCTCACCCCTTCAG